TACGTGAGCAGGTTCCACCATCAGAGAAGGAAGCTACAAATAAGCAAAGGGAAGGGGGTGGAAAGAAGCCCATGGGATGGACTGGTCAGGAGACACCAGGGAGAACTGGTGATCAGGCGAGGAGGCACAAGGCAGGTAGGTGCAGAAATGATGGCAGAGCTGGTGTGTATATGGGTTAGTTCACGCAGACTTCCTTGTCACAGGCACCCCTGCAGCAGGAGCTGCCAGTGTCCAGACCTGGGCTTCCATACACTTCACCACCACATGGAACCTGGGTTGATGCTGGAGTACAAAACATGCCAGAGTCACCTTGTAGGGCCAAAAGCCAGGACACGTTCCCAGAACAAAGGGATGGTGTTGTCACATGGGCCAACCCCAATGAGCTCCCAAGGCCAGAGCCAGGACAACGTGGGCAGCGAGGTAAGTAACACAGTACTGGATACAACCCAAAACGAATTGATTATAAGCCTATAAAATGAGTACATAGGTCCAAACTGATATAAATAAAGGGGAAACAGAGACTAATTTTCCCTATAGAAGAAGACAAAAGATAATATACACTCCTTCCCGGACACGTGGTGTTTGTCCCCTCCCCCTGGAATGTGAGCTGGGCTCAGTGACTGCTCCCAGAGGACCAGGATGGTACAACAGTATAGGGAAGAGTGGCAGCTGCACAGCAAGTGCCTGCAGACAGCACCTCACCCTGGGACCTGCTGAAACTCGCCGATGCCGCATGTTGTGTGGGGGCTGAGCAGAACATCCCCACAAATGCACAGCGTAACTTAACCCTGAGAAAACTTTACGCAAACCAAAATTGGGGACATTCCACAAAACACCTGACCTCAAAACTGTTAAGACCACAAGAGACAAGCAGAGGCACCATCCCAGACCACAGGAGACCGAGGAGACCGAGGCCAGATGCAACGTGGGGTCCTGGATGGGTCCTGAAGAGAAAAGGATGCTGGTGGGAAAATGGGGGAAATCTGAATGAAGCCCACAATGTAGTTAGCAGAATTTTCTTAGTGTCGATCACTGTACGAGCTAGCAGGAAGTTAGCATTCCTGGAAGCAGAGTGAAGCATATTCCGGAACTCTCTGTACTAGCTTTGCAACTTCTCTATAAAATTAAAATTTTTCCAAAATAAAGTTTACTTTTTAACAAAGTTAATATTATACAAGACACAAGACATCAGCTGAAAGACTATTTAAAACCACTGTATTAGGTGAACGAAGTAGTAACAGGCACCTGAAAAGTGAACCTCACAGCCTAACAGCAAANTATTAGGTGAACGAAGTAGTAACAGGCACCTGAAAAGTGAACCTCACAGCCTAACAGCAAAGTCTCAAAAAGGCTATTACATAAAAACAGAAATCCTCCCGCACACAGTCCAGTTGAGGGAAGCAGGAAAGCCCAAAGCATGGAATTTGGTTAACTATGAATGAAGGAACAGAGTCAAGCAACTAAGAACATTTATGAGAGACCTTAAGATTGAAGTCAAAGAAAACCTGGTGAAAAATCTGGTAGAGGATTTGATCAGGGATGAAAAGATGACACGATGAG